AAGGGGGGGGGGGGGTAGTTACAATATCTGTCTACAAAATCTTAGGTAAAGCTCAAATTACTACTGGCCTGACATCCTGAAACACACAGGGACTGTATGAGCTACTGTATATTAGTAAGAACATCACATACACTTTCATTGTTTCTATTTCCGGTTAATGATACTTTATCCAAACCTGATCCCTAAACAAACCCTCACAGAACCGTCACATTGTTACACATGATTCTGCTGATTTATGAGCCTTCTGAACTAGTGAGGTCTGGCTCACAAGTCTGTACCACATGTTAAACTTTATTCAATGACAAAATTTTTAAAACATTTTGGCCTTCACAAGTATAGACAAACCTGCACACACACACACACACACACACACACTCTCACACACACACACCCAAGATTCACTACTACTAACAGAGAGGTCCATTTCAGTCGATAGATTTGTCAGATTTGCATTTAAATTGCTTTATTTTAGCAGACAGTTTTATCAAAATAAACTTACAAATGAAGGAATAAAACAACTTTTTCTTAAGAAGGCAATAACAATAGCACAAAGTGCTAAAATAAAATGTTTAAAAAATTGTCTACAAAAAAAAAAAAAAAAAACAGTGAGACATAAATAAAAGAGTTTTATGAGATAAAGTTTAAGGACTGTCAAAACACACTCTCTTGACCATCTATGAGCGCTTCGACAGAAACATGAGACGCCCGTGATCCTACAAACAAGACTCCAAAATACAGCTGCTTACACACTAAATCTGCACGTGTGAAGGCAAATCTTTTTATTTATTTATTTAATCTTCATTATATTATTGTTTTATGTGCTTATTCACATAATTTACTTATTCATGTCATTATGTAATTTATTATTTTGCTATCTCAGTAATAATTACAATTTTTATGGTAAGATCAAAGTATTTTCAAAGATCAACAAAAATGCATGTTGCTATTATTGATGTTTTTGCTTTTATCAAACAACTGGTCAGTACACATTATTATAAAGGTGTAGAAAAATCTTAATATAATGTATGTCCATAAGACTCCATAAAAAATATATGAAACGCCATTATGGTTTATAAAATCTTTGCAACTTTAAAAAAAAAGAGAAGAGCTTATGTTTCTGTGAAAGATATGCATGAGAGAATGGCAAGAAAATATCACACACACACACACACACACACACACACACACGTTTGTTTCTGTGAATTGTGGGGACTTTCCATAGACTTCTATTACTTTTATACTGACCAAACAATATTTTCTATCCCCTAACCCTAAACCTACACCTTACAGAAAACCTGTTTGCATTGTTACACTTTCAGATAAACATAATTTACTATTGTGTAAAATTGTAATCATTTACTATGGTCCATTGTGGGGGCCGCAAAAATTTCAGGTTTTACTGTCCTTGTGGGGACATTTGGTCC